AAAATACATGGTGAGAGATGCTGGAACTGTCTTTTTCCTACTACTGTACACTGTACAGTGAATATTCACAATAGAATATACAGTATTAAATACGAAATATTCTTGAAAGCTCATAGTCAAATGATCGTCAATTTAACGAAAAATCTTTTCATTTTTCACAGGAAATCAACAAATCATCGACATTCTGGTACCTCTTAAAAAGTAAGTAAAAGTTATTTGATGCTTGGTAACAAAGCTCCGTACTTTCTGTATTAAACAATGAATTTCCAATTGTTTATCACAGACCAGTGCAAAACCTTCATGCGGCGGCTCGTAACGGTAATTTAAACCATACAATGATTTTTGGATAGAATAGATCCGTAAGATCTCCGCAAGATCCGGATCCAAGCGTGCGTACGTAGCCGCATGATACAAACATTCGTTATTCCGTAAGGGTATGGCATGCGAATCAAAGTAGGCGAGATAAGAATAACGAATTTGCGTGTGTATTATATATGTATGCATCATGCGGCAGCGTACGCACGCTTGGATCCGGATCTTGCGGAGATCTTACGCATCTATCCTATCCAAAAATCATAGTATGATTGAAACCTCTTGCATTTCAAATAAAAAAGTTTTTAAACCTGTTTATTATTTGACACAGGTGATGTAGCAAGAATAAAAGAATTACTGGCAAACGGATTGGACGTTAATGTCTTAGATGCTGATGAACGTACGACTTTATTTGTTGCGGCTGCAAATGGTGATTTCATAGTTTTGAGCCATTGTCAAAATACAACTGAAATATGTATTCAATTTTTCTCTTCCGTAGGTCAAAGTGATGCAGTTAAAGTCTTGCTCGAGAATGGTGCCGACATAAATAAGAAAAATAAGAACGGACATGCCCCAATTTTTGATGCAACTCTCAATGGTAACAAAAGTGTTCAAATTCTGAATATATTTAACACGCACACATTTCTTATTAAATTTAGATTTCTATAATGTTGTTGAAATACTGATCGAAGGTGGTGCTGATATCAATATTAGGAAAAATGATGGATGGACACCGTAAGTAGAGAAACTATTTGAGTCCCGTGAAATTTGTCTAATTATTTCATCTTTTATTTACACTTTAGATTAAATATGGCCGCAAAAAAAGGTGACTCTTTCAAGCCAACAAAATGTTTTGGAAACCAAAAATCCTGAAAATATTTCTTAAACTTTGTATCAAAATCATTTCCATAGGTTATCTGCAAATTGTCGAACTGTTGCTTAGGAAGGGTGCAGTTGTTAATATTCAGACCTTTACCGGTGAAACGCCGTTATACAGCGCTGCATTGGAAGGTTTGATCTATTTTCTTATCTCTAGTCACGAACATACAGGGGCATAAGGAGAATGTAAGCCCGAATAACTCTCCTTTAATCATCCTCCCTTAAATTTTTACTGTGCCATGTGCTCGAATTCAATTCATTCTGTTTATTTTTGCGATACTAAATAAAAATCTATTTTTCCCATATAAAAAATGAAGGCAAAAGAGAAGTCGTTGAAACATTAATCCGACACGGTGCTAATGTTAATATAGTAGAAGACTATGGATGGACACCGCTGCACAGAGCGGTTGAGAATGGTATAAATATTCAGAAGAAACTGATAAAATTTTCAATCACGATTATATGAGATTTTTGGTTGCCTTCCAGGTTTTGAAGAGATTGTGGAAATTTTGGTGAATAGTAAAGCCAACGTTTATTCAAAAAATAAATACAATGTCACTCCTTGGAGTATTGCTCAAAGCAAAAGTATTAATTATAACTATATTCGATGTAAAATGTTCTTCGATTAAACAGCGACTCTTTTCTTTTTTACACAGAAAATTCAAAAATCATTGGATTACTCAAAAAAACACCTCGTATTTCAGAAATGGGTAATTAGTAGGTTTAGTCGCATAGTTCTAACTTAGACAGTTCATTAATTTTATAAATATCTGATGAAATTTCAACTATCTTTGATTTAGTTTGTGAAACGTACGGTAAATTGCCAACACCGCATATATTTGGGGATGAAAAGATGGAAGATGGTGATTTTCCCTGGATGGTGAGGGATGGAAATTTATGATTTTTTTTACATTTCATGGAAATTTTCTAATGGCGTTTAATTCTCAGGCTGCGCTGGGCTATCTCGTTAGAAACAGACTAGTTTACAGATGTAGCGGTACCATTATTTCGGACCAATTCGTACTCACTTCAGCATATTGCACAAGAATGGGTGTACTAAGAAAGGTTCGACTGGGAAAGGTAATAGAATTGTTTCTTCATAAACCATTTTACATTTCATTTTTAATATGATTATTTAATAGACTTCTTTAGCCGATTCCAAACATTACACAGTAACTCCAGTCATGCGTGATATACAGGTCACTATGAAAAAATATATATTGATTTTCATATAACAACTAAAGACATAATGTGAATTATTTTGTGTAGAATATCACCATTCATTCCGGTTATGATCGTTTAACCATGTCTAATGACATTGCTTTGATTCGCGTTGTTGATAAAATTCCATTTAATAATTTTGTTTGGCCAGCATGTTTACATACAAATTTAGATGAGGTACCATCAAATGTGCCGCTTACTGTTACCGGTTGGGATTTTCAAAATCCGAGAAGTAAGTAATAATTTATTTTCAAATTCATTTTGAAATGTGTAAAGTTCAACTAAATGTGTTTAAGGATCATCGACTTCATCACAAATGTATAAAGTAAATTTGACATCAATGCCACTACAGGAATGCAAATCAAAAGTGGTGACGAGAGGTCGTGCGCAATACCGAAATGGCCTTTTTGAAGAGCAGTATTGTGCCTTTGGTGGTGGAAGTAGAGGTTCCTGTCGAGTTTACAGTGGAGGCCCTTTGCAATATCTCAAAACCAATACAAGCACAATAGTTGGTATTGTACCCATCAGTGATAGATGTGGATTGAATATACCAAACATTTACACGAGAGTCGCATACTATGTGGATTGGATTGAATCAATCGTTTGGAGTGATTTGAAAAACTCAAAATGATGTGTAATTTGTCGAATAAAACCATTTCTACATGTTCTTTGTGAAAAGCAGACGTTTTTAAATTGTCATTTATTAAAATAAATTTCATGGATCAAGCATTTTCTTCAACAAATTCTATAAATATAAATACTAAGAAATGTTGTGTGTTATGACATCATACAGGCATAGCTTCCATACAAAAAATCACCAAATCACATAAAAAAAATTCAAAAAAGATTCACAAGTTTTCACGATGATTATATCCAATTTATTTCAAGAAATAAATGCCCATTCGATAAAAAAATAAATTTGAAAGCAGCGCAGAAAAGTTGGACTTACTGGTGTAAGTTCCTCTTTATTTATTTTGTTTTCAAAACTTCTTCAACTACGTCGAAATTATTTCCCACATTTCAACGTTTCTTTCTTTATTTTCCGCAATTATTCCTTTTGTCTCAATTGTCTCAACATCAAATAGTACGTGAATG